CATTAGGAGTATTTCTACTAAAAAAAAATATATATTTAGTTTGTTTTCCCTTTACTTTTTTGTCTACTAACCTTCAACCTCTGTGAAAGAAAGCAAGATTGTAATTTATTTCATCTTGTAATCTTTTATTCACCAAATCTCTTAGCAAGTGAGTCAATTTTAATTGACTTTAGTGAACATATTTGAGTTAATTCTTTACCTCAAAAAACTAAAATGTTCTTCAACTTTTAGAAATGTGTAACAATCGCTATAACTAAAAAATAGAATACATCTAAGATTAATTCAACCATACGTTAAATTTTACTTCAAGGCCTGAAACAATACCGCCATGTCATATAAGATGGCTAAATTACTCTATGAACCTTAAGCACTATTATGACCAGTAAAGTCACATTTTTATCTTGAGCAGTCTATAGAAATTGCAAACAAAGTAAACCTTTATTAAATTATCATAATGTAGTTCCTCTTTAGATGCTGGTCAATTTATATATAGTATCTTAGTGGTATTCAGTCTAGGCATACAAGTTTAGTTAATCAAAATCAGCAATTAACAATGTTCTAAATTTAAAAGAAAAAACAAAATAAAACAAGAAACAACTCATGATACTGTCATCCTATGGAAGTGTGTGGAATCTGCCTGGGATTCCTTGTGAATAGAGGTTCTAAAACCTATGTATAGCAAAATAAAAATTCTTAGATAAATTAGTATTTTATAGCTAGTTAGGATAATTTTAGAAGAGACTACAAGTATCTTTATTTCTAAATGCAGTTTTATGATTCTCTTAAAGAACGTACCTGAACTTCCGGACACTACCGAACATTCTAGAACTGACCTGTCTCGTGACTTAGCAGCCCTGCATGAGATTTGTGTAGCTCATTCAGATGAACTGAGAACACTCAGTAATGAGCGTGGTGCACAGCAGGTAGGTTTTACAAAATGGTAATGTTCATAGGAACATGTAAAACTGTCAAGTGAGTTATTGTCAGTAGTGAGGCATATTATTCCATCAGCTACTCTCACACCAACTACATGAGCAAAGTTAACTTTAGAAACATAGGAGAACTATATGGGAAATTTGAAAAGTGTCATCAAAGTTGGTGTGGATCATAGCTCACACCTTAAACTTCTGCTGTCCATACCAATGTAGGGGGGTGGGTATATTTAAATGAGGACTAGAGCTAGGAAAGGTTTTTAATTGACTTAGTGTTAAATCATTGTAGATAGTTAAATAAGTATAAATCAAGATACATCCTAAATTTTAATTTGTTCATGATTTCAACTATCACTGCACTGCTGACCTATCTGGCAGAGATTTCACAAAAAAGAAATTAAGAGTGAGTATTAATTCTTATTAGACTGAGATTCTACAATCTTTAAGTTTAGAAAACAGCCTAAATAATGTTTATAATGACAAATGTAGTGTGGTAGGATCTTATTTATCTTGGTTACTACTAAAAATGCTCAGTTTAAGTAATCAGAACTTTGTTCTACAGAGATGGCTCAGCCCTTAAAGGCTAGGCTCACAACCAAAAATATATGTAACCAAAACTCACATTTTAGTAATGAGTAGAATGCTAGTACCTTAAGAATCCCATTGTTTTGATATAGTTTTTATTAAACCCAAATTTATTTCTTGAAATATTAGACTCTTTGCTTAGTCATTTTTCCCCCCATTGTTTTTCCTTGTGCCTAGCATGTACTGAAAAAGCTTTTGGCTATAACAGAACTGCTACAACAAAAACAAAACCAGTACACAAAAACCAATGATGTCAGGTAGCAGCCTGGTGTTCTGCATGGATTCAGCACGTGCAACATGGTAATTCACATCACTATGTCTTCTTTGCTCTTGCCAAAAAAAGAGAGAAAGAAAAAAATAGCACACCTTTCCACATTCCAGTGATGTGTAAGCTATGCAAACAAAAGCCCAAGATTCTGCTGGCACTGCCGGCACCTTTGTAAGCTATCTGTGCAGAATATTTGCACTTTTTCCACATGGAATCTTTACCAAACTCTGAGCCTTGGTGTACAGATCAACTTTCACAAAAAAAAAAAAAAAAAAAAAAAAAAAAAAAAGCTATGTCTTGAACTTTGAAAATATATTTTCAGTATATTCATTTGCCAAAGTTTTGCTGTCTCTTGGAAAAGGAACTATGAAATCAACTGACAAGAAAATGCACCCTATTTGACAACAGAATTTTTAACTGGATTGCAGACTCTTCTTACTGTAATTTCTTTCTAAGAATATGACCATTTGACTGTTCACTGAATTTGTATTTACAGTTTCCAGAGTTTGACATTATAATAGGAACAATCTTGCTGTATACCTTTAAAAAATACTGTGCTATTCTTCCTGGAACTGTTGAAAGACAATATATAGAATGGATGAATCTATGCTCATCAGCTTTATTTTTTAAACATACCACTTATTTTGTTGGAATTGTCAAAGACTGTACTTAATCTCATGGTTTTGTTAAAATGTTTACAACAGTAAATAGTTTAAATTCAATAAATATTATTGGTCATTGTATCAGTCAATGCATGTTATCCATTTGACCATTTCATAGATTACAGATGTCTTTTATGTATAAACAAACTGCTAGAATACTCATGTCTATTCTAAGATGACTTTTGTTACTGCTTTGATTATACAGACAACCTCATCAGCCACTTAACAACTTACACATCTTTGAATTTGTATTTGTTTTTTTTTTTCTGCTGGATATTTAGTTTGTATAGTTTCATCTGTTCCTGTGTTTGTATTTTTGTGAAATATTCACAAGGGTTAAATTAAAATAAACTGAGGGATAGCTTGCATAGCCAATCAGCTTACTATTTAACTTCATTGTAATTTTCTTCTGCTTTTAGGGACAGTTGAAGCCTTAGTAACAGAGCAAAACCCAGGAAGATTTTTATTAATTGTTTCTTTCACAGAGGACTTCACTTATTCAATGTACAACTTGGTAGGCAACATGTCTTGTTCTAAAGACAAGACTTCAAAACAATGTGTAGCAGAGTATCCTTAGTAATCAAAATTGGTTTTTTGATTGTTTAAAAAGAACTACCAAGGTATGACTAAAAATAACTATCAAGGAAAGTATTAATGTTTTGCTGAAGGCCTACATTCCAAAACCATTGATTGCATTCCTCAGAGGTGCTATATACAGTGAAAGATGTTAAGTAGCCAAAAGTTTATTTCCTTTTGCTGAGGAAAAAACTGAAAAGGTCTCAGTGTATTCTTTAGAAAGGTGTCTATTACCATTGACAGTTTTCCCTAGCTTAAATTGGTACTGAATGCAGCCATAAAGGTAATTTATTGTCCTTACATAGCTTCATTCAGGTTAACTGTGGTAACAAAAAACAAAACCGTGCTTTTGGCTTTGTTATCTCTGCAGTCCCTGTCTCTCTTCAACAGTTCTGTTCTTGTTGGCTATGCTATGACAGTAATGAATCTCATTACCTTAGTTACAAGGTGAAAGGGGTATAGACTGGTTAATGTAGATAAGGACTTTCAAAAATAGGCCTAGGTCCAAACTCTAGTGTAAGGCATTTTAGTTGATCCTTACCAATTCTTCAGTGTTTAGTCATGATGTCCTATCTGCCATTATTTGGCCTGACATGCTTCTCCTTTTTAAGAATCAGAAAAACTCATCCTCATTTCTGTGTTTTACTGACATGTTTGTCTTAAATTGGAGTTACTTACCTTTGTGGGCCCTGAAGTAGCTAGGTGGTTAGTGGTGACATAAATAAAATCTTTGAAACTTTTTTTTTTCCTAAATGGGGCTGGGTGGAAAATTTTCAGAAGTGCATGTGGACTTTGCTCTGATGCTAACCTTTAATGATCTGAAAGAGAAACAGGAGACACACTGAGCATTTGCAATTCAGTCTACAGAATATCATGTTGCTTTAACTTGAACTATATATACTTGGGCATATGAGCTTTAGTTTTTATTCTATAATAAAGCATTATGCTTCATCAATTTTATTCCAGAACAAAAAAAGAAAACAAACCAGAAACTCAAGCCATAAAAGTAATTACGAGAGATCAACATGTATATAGGGATAAACATGAACACAAATATCACCACATTTTAAGATAGACTAAAATGCTACCTACCCTCCTGGGAAGTATATCGTGGAATATGTAAAGCTGGGTGGATTTACATTTGAGGTGGTTGAGTTTCTCAGAATTTCTTCAAGCCAGTTTTCCAGGTGAGGGGGAGAAAGGAAAAAAAAAAAATCCAAAAAACAAAACACTTGTCTAATATTTGGTCCTAATTGTAATATGTACCACTTACTAATTAATGCATGACAAATACATATTAGCATGCCAAGAACTGCTGTGAACAATCCAAGGAGTAGGCATCATCTTTTTCCCCATTCTCTGCTTGGGAAAGTAGCACACTGAGGTATAATTTACTAAAGTCATAGAAGAATAGAAGTATACTAACTTATTTCATTTTTAAACTTTTAATGTATCTCATCTATAAATGCCTACTTCATATGGTTTCACTTAGATATGATCATTTAATGATAAAAGTGAATATCTAATTTGCTACCACTTAATTGTAGTAATTTAAGATTTTTATCTAAACTCAAAAGTTGTATTTTATTTAAACTCAGATGTGAGTAACTGCTTAGAATAAGAGTTGGTGCCTAAGCACTAAATAACTGCCCAGTATACAGCTAGTAGTAATTCATAATTAGTGCAGACTATTAAATTTTTTGAAAAGCTATTTGTAAGACCTTCTGGAGATGAAACCTATTTCCTTAGCATGTCCAAAGTTTATCTATTACTAAGGTTTGTTTTCTCCTTTTCTTCTAAATGATAGGTTTGTTTAATCACATTTTGTTCAAAACAATATAAGGAAGTGCACCACAGTATGACTTTGGCCATCCTAGGAGGACGGATTTGCTACTAATCTTAGTGAGTTAGAAATATCTAAAGAAGGTAGCATTCAGCCTCTTTTCAAGTTATATATAAAGCATCACAAGAAAAAAATACAATTAGAAAAGTTTAATATATTTTGATGTTTTCACACTGTACTACTTTAAAGAAAGTTAAATGCCAGACATGCCTCCTACTTCTGTTGCTTAGTTAGCACTCCCCGTAGTCATTTCAAGTGATTAGAGAGAATCTACCAGGTCATCATCAGTCCATTCCTCCTGAGGGGAAAAAATGTAATAAGGATAACATTGAAGCAGGGAGTCAGTTTTTTTTTTTTTTTTTTTAAACCACCCTTTAAGAAAACACTGGTTGACAACAGTCTACTACAGATTTGTTTTTCTGAGATGTCTCCTGTGGCTGCAGCCAACCTAGGATTCTCCTGCCTCCCAAGTACTAGGACTACAGGTGTGGGCTGAGTCCAGCACTTGATTGTGATGACAGGGACTCAATTGTATGCAAGAGTATATAAAGGCTATTTTTTTTGCCTCTGCTTATTTATCTTAGACTTGTTAGAGACAATTTTAAAAACTGGGGCAAGGTAAGGGAAGAATCCTTGCAGAATAAGACATTCCCTTCTAATATAAGAAGGATTCTTCAAGTTTTAGAATTGGCTCATACAGTAGTGTTAAAAGACAAAGCAAAAAACCCAAATCTCATAAATGTTGACAAGGTACTCTGCTACCTAGTCAGCATCATGTAACAAGCAACTGCCCCACATGCTCCTGTCCTCTGCCATGCTTACCCCCTGCAGTGGATTCTAACCACTCTGAACTGTTACCCAAAATAAACCCTCCAATTAAAGATTTTTTTTTAAATTCAGACTGTATAAAGAGGTGAGTAAAAAATTATTTCAATCTTCAGAGGTACATGTAGTCCTAGCCCTTTGAGGGCTGAAGTAAGACAATTGGGAGTTCAAAGCCAATCTGGGCTATGTAGCAGGACACTGTTTAGAATATTGATGTCCCCGCCTGTCTATAATGCTTACAATGCTCCAGAACATCTTAACTTAGGTCATGTCAGAAAATGTAAAATGACTTATATAAAATTTACCTCTTCTTGCTTGGGTTTCTTTGATACATAGTCATCATCTTCATAGCCTTTCCTCTTCTTCCTATAATGAAGCAATTAGCAATTTGCAAACTGATAATAGTAACAAAACTATAAAAACAGAATTAGCAAGGCCATGTGAGCCAGAACCCAATGTGGTAGCTCACAGCTATAATACTAGTACTCAAACTGTGGCAACACTACTGCCTTAAGTTCAGGCTAGCCTGGGTTTACACAGTGAGACCCTATCTTTAAAAACAAAATAAACAAGGGATCATCTGTGACTATGAAAACAATACTTAATCCAATGTAGCAAGAACCTGCACAGATTATGTAAAGAGGCTGAACATAGCTATAAAACACAGTATTAGTGACTAATGAGGCTTTTGGATAATCCTGGGCTACTCAGTGATACCTTGCTTCAAGTAAACATAGCAAAGAGACTCTAGAAGAAAAGTGTTGGAAGACTTTGTCTTAGTTATCATAAAGGAATACTAAAGTGGAGCTCAATTGTGGTACACACCTGCAATGTCAATACTTGGATGGGTAAAGCAGGAGGATTGAGAGTTGGAGACTCTCAGTAGGTCTTATAACAAGACCCTGCCAAGGAACAATAAAAGCACACACTATAAAAGCTACGGTTATTAATAATGTGGTGTCTATACATCAGTGATTAAAGCAGATAAGCAAAAGTGGCTTCACACATCTGGTGACAGCCTCACTGGGTTTAGACAACAATCCAGACAGACAACCTCATTTTGTTCCCCTGACCCAAATGGGTGTCCTCTGCCCTACACACAGGTACCCACTTCTGAACTGAAACACAATAAATGGCTACACATTTAAATTTGTGTGATAAAAATGTCACCTAAGAAAACCATGAAATACTCAAAAGCAAACTAGACAAAACTACTAATATGGGGGGGGGCTTACCCCAATAAGCATTTTTTTATTTAAAAAAATAAGTTATCAAAGTAGAATAAGAAATTTTTTGTATCAAAATAAGTAGGACCACACATTTTTAAAAAGATGATGATATAGGAAGCTTTGTAAGAATAAAATACCTGAACCAATGCAAAAAAAGAAATTCAAATGGCTATCAAACCTGGAAACATAATATTCAAACTAATAGGGGAAATATAAATGATCAAGACAATATTCTTTTTTCACTCAGACGGCAAGAGTAAAAGATTGGTAATAAGTGCATGCTTCAGACACACTGTCAAAGTATTTCATGCATTTATGTACTGAAAGGGTTGACAGAGGGTAGACCTATCTGTTAAGTTACTTCTGAGGCCAGGATTGAGATAAGCAGTTTGATCAAAGGGAACTTTGGTTTTTACTCAATGAGTGACTTACCAAATACAGTTACTGTATTATGAAAAATAAAGGCAAAAGTTTTAAATGACCAAGGAAAACAAATGCTCTGTGCTGAAGTAGTGCTATTTAGTGTTGTTCATAAACCGTTTCTAGCCTGCAGTGAGATGGCAGACACTGTACTTAGAAACTATACAGAAATTTGACAGACTATTTTGACCATAGAATCTAATAAAATTTTAACATTTTATTGTCTTATTTTCCTTTGTAGAAACTTTGGCTATATTTTATAAAAATCTGTCTGTGATATTTGTTAAAGTCATTCCTATACTAAGAAATATTCAAGACACTTTCATGGAAATGTAGAATTTCCTTGGCAGAGTGCAAAGCAAATGGCAACTTGGAATAAAATGTAAACTCTGTCAATTAGTAATTTTAGAATATGACCCATTCCATTATTAGCTACAACAGAATTAACAAATGAATGGTCCAACTAGGAGGACAAATTAGTAAGTACTTCAGGTCTTACAGGCTATACATGTTGGAGTACCCTGTTGAACTTAGGCTGCAGTCCACCATGTCCAGAGAGCTCTTTGGGTTCAGTGCAAATGGAAGACTCCCTCCCTTTCCAGCAGGTCTCCCTCCCTGGATAGTGTCTAGGCTTGGAGGCCTGAACTTACCTAAAAGCTGTCCCTAAACCAGGATGTCTGACCTATCTCAAGGACGACCTTTGACACAGAATCCTGCAGACACTCTGCCTACTGCCTGGAGCTGCTGCCAAATATAAATTAGGTGATGCACAGCTGCTGTTCCATCCTGTATATCTCTTACTCTGGAATAAAGGTGAACTGTAACACTGAAACTGTCCCTGAGGATATTTCTATCAATGTTCACAGCCATTCAAACCCTCCTCCCTCGTGGACTGGTGGCCAAGGATCCCTGAGGAGGAGGAAGACCCACAAATACAGTTTCTGCCAAAGCCACTTACCTTTTCTGCCAAAGAATGAAAAGTTAATAATGGGCATTCTATTTTCTAATAACTCTGCATCTAGAAAAAATAGGTGTGGGCTAGATTGTTGGGTACTGGGTCTCATTTGCACATTTCAAATCTATGTAAGAACACAGGTAAGTGCTACAGAACTTTTATTCACCAGTAGGTCAACTTTTCTCTACAGCTAACAATTGGTTATTACATATGAAATATTACAATTTCAAGATTTACATGCTTTGAAGCCACAACTTTAAAACAACAGTCCTATAATTTGCACTCTGTATAGCTGTTGAATAATACTCTACTACAACTACAGTTAAGAAATTAAAGTCATGGCTGCCTTGCACTGAAAGTCTTGGCATGCTCTTCAGCTTTTCATATTATTTGTCAGTCATTCACTAATCATAGATATCAAAATGCCATACATACATACATATACACACACACACACACCACAGCTAATTCCCATTACATGTTAATAGATAACAGAACTTTAGAATCTCGCATTGGTCCTATGATACGCTTACAAAGAATTAAGTTTTGGTGGAGCATAACATTTTATGATGAATTCCACATTAGCCTATAAATAAGAAACATTAAGTATGAACTTAAACTTACACAAAGCAACCTAAGAACACATTTTATTGATTCTCTAATACAATGTTTCCTCAAATTGAAATAAAGCCAAGTTTCCTTACTAGTTTATAAAAATTAAGTTTAAAGCAGTATACTAGTTGCTCAAACCAAGAATCGGGTTGGTAAAGAAAAGAAAGTTTAAGGAAGATTGATTCCCAGTAATTCCATGAAGTGGAAAAGCAAGCCAAGTTACACAGTAATGATCAGAATCAGAACTGTAGCATGAAAGCCACAAATTTCTTCCTTCACTTTTAGAAATGTACACATAGGCCAGGTGGGGGATGTGAGACAGGTAGAGCACTTGCCTATGGACAAGGCCCTGGGTTTAACTCCCAACACAAGCAAAACCAGTATGCTAGAAGAATAAACAAAAATTTGGGTCCTAATTAAAGAAGAGTTGAACTCAATGACTGTGAACATAACTTCTGTGTCACGCCTACTTACGTAGCCACATTAAGCGCAAGGTCAGCAGAATGACATCGCTCCAACTTCTGTTTCAGAACAGCAACTTCTTCAGACCTCGGTGGCTCATACTTTTTTACGAGGTTTCTCATGCCTACATGGAGAAGCAGAAGTATTTAATAATGTCTGCTTTCAGCTGAGTGTGGCGTTGGTGCACACTTTAATCTCTGCACTCCAGAGTCAGAGGTAGGCAGATCTCTTGAGTTTGGGGCCATCCTGGTGTACAGAGCAGGTTCCTGGACAGTTAGGGCTATACCTGTCTCAAAAACCCAAAATAAATAAAGTCTGTTTTCATATAAAGAAAGCAAAATAATCTAACTTACTTTAGGACATTGGTGATGCTACACATACTTACCAGAGTTTATATTCTATATTAAAATCAAGAGGCACTAGCCTTTTAAGTTCAAGTAATAGGTATCTATTTATCTCATTATATATGGCATAAATATAAGAATACTGTATAATATAGGTAGTATTTTTTTAAGTACCTCCATGTTTACATTTCACTCAATTTAAGGATTGTGCAGTAACCTCTGTGATTTACTAAATATTCCTTATTCTCTACCACCAACCATATTTATTAACAGATAGTGGCCCAAGAATATACCTCTTGTTTACAAAAAGCAAAAACAACCTACATATAAAAAAGGGGATGCTTCTGAAACAAAACAAAAAACATAACTGCTATAAAAAGATATCCTCTAAGATTTAAAAAAAATCTATAGATCAGTAATTGTAAGGTAATAAACTATGCTCTAACTTATGATTTATTAGGAACATGATGAATTAAGTCCAAGTCCAGAGATTTACTGTGTGGTTATGTGTTTCAGACTGGTAGCTAAACTGAAAATTGGTTATATTAAAGCTGAGTATTTTCTGAAGCACTATCTTTGTGTCATATTTATTAAAATTGGAGAAAATAATGATAATGAGAAATCAGTAATTAAATGTTAAGCTTCAAATAAGCAGCATAAATTATCCTTATGACCCTTCACTGACTTGTTAGGAACTACTACTATCTATTACCAAATCACAATTAGCTCTGGAAGTGAACCCTCTAGTGGTAAATATGAAGACATACAGTTTATGCCAAGCAAAAAGAAAAACACCTGCTCCATTATGCTCAGAGGAAATCCAAAAATCACTTCAAGCAAATAATCACATCATGGCATGAGAATTGCCTATCTTGAATCCCAGTTTTTAAAATAAATGAACATTAATTTTGTACACACATTTACTGTCACCTAAATAAAGGTCTGCAATCCTGTATTTTATTGGTTACTCACCTTACCTTTTACATAATTGCCAAGACAATTGAAGAATTGAGTGTGGTGGCATACTCTACAATCTCAGCACTCACGAAACTGAGGCAAGAGATTCCAAGTTAAACTCAGTCTGGGCTACAGTCTCAAAAACCCATATACATGTGTCTCTCTGTGTGTATTATGTGCCCATCAGCTAAGCAGAAATTCTAAAGACAATTTCCCAACACCAACACTAATAAGTTTCCCAAGGCTACTATTAAAATCATCACTAACTTGGTGTTTTAAAGCAACCAAATGTATTTTCTTCACACATTAGAGGCCCAGGATCATAAATCTGTTTCCTTGGGCCAAAATCAGAGTATAGGCAGAGGCAAATTCTGTCCAAAAGCTCTAATGAAAATCCATTTTGTCTATTCGTTTTGGTGACTGCCAACATTCTCTTTCCTTCCTTCCTTCCTTCCTTCCTTCCTTCCTTCCTTCCTTCCTTCCTTCCTTTGGTTAGATCATTCCAATTTTTATGGTCAAAACTGCACATCTATTTTGCTGTTATGACATTGTTTTTATGTCTCAAATTTCTCTCTGCCTTTTGAGTTCATGAGGAACCTGGTGACTACATGTACTTGTCATTGCAATAACTCATGTCACTATCACCATCTTCTGATGAAATATATAACTCCAACTCTTGTGAGTTAAGGTAACAGATACAGGTTCTACATATGGACCTCCTTTTAGGGGCCAATTTTTAGCAGCATTCTTCATGTTTTTTTCTTGCAGTAGTATTTTTTTTGAAATGTGCTAGACAAGAGCTCTACCACCAAGTCCCAATCCAAGCCCAGCTGACAACCTACATTTTTATCAAACTCCAACCAAGCTGTAACAATCAATATGTCTTCTGAAATTGACACTTCATCCCAGTTAACCCCACTTGAGAATTACTGGCTTTGTGTTAGTAACAAAATGACCATGAAATGACATATATTAACTAGTTAAAATTATTTACAAAACAGAGGTTCCAAATGTTAAACCTTACCCTGAAGTTAGTTCTCTTGGGGCTACATGTCTATCTCATTATCTGTGGATTCTTCTAAAAGAACCTTGTTTTGAATCAGCTTTGTCTAAATCTGATATCCATAATCTCTACAAAAACAATTTTCATATACTGTTTGTTTATTCTTACCAATGTATCTTCAATGCATCACAACACAGTAATTCAATAAACACTGCACATTAAATACCAAAACATTTATTCAGAAAAAAACTTGGTTAATAGCACTTACTTTTCATTATATCCAGTAACTGTGACAGGCAAGTTCTATTTTCTCTCAGCATTAGACTGTCTGATAAATAGCTATTGGAGAAAAAAAAAAAAAAAAAAAAAAGGCATTTTAACTCACTGAAAACACACAGCACATTGAAAAGACAAGGCATAAATTATTTGCTTCCATGTTTATTTCATCAAGTACAGTTTTTACTTACTTAAATATGATACAATATTAGAAGCTCCACAATACTAAAATCTACAGCAACTAGTCTCAAAGATTTAGTACCTTTTGCTAGCTTAAGAGATGTGTACTGTTCCAAGTTTATTCAAATTTTATTATATATAACCTTTCAGAGATAAAATAACAGTACTAACAACCAATATTTATCATTTTATATTAAATATTTGATATAGACATTCCATAAACCTAACTTTATGTGATTCGTGGAGTCTGAGCTGTAGATGGGTTAAGCTCAAAGGTAGAAGATAAGGAATCAGCACCAGTCAGTTTTCATTCCAAGGCAACATTATAGCTGTACTTGAGCATTTACCAACAAGGTATCATCTCATGCTTTGCAAATGTGTAAAAATGCTCTATGAATGTCTTATAAACCCTAATTAAACTTTGTTTACATTTTGGTTCCTCTGAGATTTTATGTACCAAGACATGGTACATTGGTGCTACAACCCCAAATGAAGATTCTTAGACCCTAGGTCTTTCAAACATAAATATAAAAAGTAACTTTTCTCTCAGGTAAATTAGTTCTAAATAAAAAGTTTTAAGAACTGTTGTTGCTGTATTTAAGACTACTTGTAGTAAGTTACATACAAAACATTGATGACTCTGTTTCATATTAACTAGTCTAGTTTCCTTCCCATCATGTTACACTTTTGCCACTTTCCTTGGGGAGGAGAGGGTTATTCTTTCATTTTTTTAAAAAAAAATTTTTTGAAGCAGGGTCTCATGTAGGACCAATTAGAATTCAGCATAACTGTTGAGGATGACTTTTAACTCCTGATATTCCTGTTTTCATCTTCTATGTGCTTGAATTATAGATATGCTATCTCCTCTATGTGTTTGAATTATAGATATGCTATCTCTTATAGAGGCTCCACACCTAAACCCCAGACAAGTCAGTTATTCACATGGATGTCTTTTCTTCTTAGCACATGTTTCATTCTTCCTTTCCGTAAGTGTAATATAGCAGAAGCTCACTAAATAAATGGATATAAATCACAATAGGCTTAAATCTACATGGAGTTGTTTGAACAACAACAAAAAAAGGTATACTGGGGCTGGAGGGATGTCTCAATGCTTAATAGTCCATCCTGTTCTCATAAAAGACCTAAGTTTGGTTTCTAGAAACTGTATCTGGTAGCTCATGGCTACCTAACTCTAACTCCAGGGATCTGACACCCTTTTGCTGTTCTGCACAGGTATTTCTATACATGGCATACATTTACATGTACACACAGATTAAAAATAAATATTTTAAAAAAAGGTATACATATCATAAATAAAAAAGCCTAAGGACCCTTACCCTGGATGGAAATGTATTTCAAAATTTATAAGTGTTCACAGTATATAAAGCTAGACTGCTGCTTTATGTAAAATATGGCATCTAAGGGTCAGGAATATGGGTACTTATGTAGTAATAAGAAAGATTCCAAATGAGGGAGTACAAAAACCAAATCATTTGTGCTTATCTTTGTTACAGTCTTATCACTGTTTTTTAAACTGTAAGTATACAAAATAGTTTCAGTTTAGAAAATTTTACCTTCTTCAGCTATTTATAAAAATAAAAGAATCCAGTCATAAGAGAAATTATAAACAATAAAAAGTAGTATAATTTAGAAATTAACTGAAGTACATTAATATTTCTAATCTGCTGTTCTTCTAGCTCCCTAGTAACGTATCTATAGTACTGTTATAAGTATAAGAATTAATATGTGCATAAGATAATGTTTTTAAAAAAGTGAATTTAATCCATATAAAGTACTTATTGTAATGTCTGGATATTATTATTTATGGCACAACTTCAATTTTCATGTGGTTATACCCTAAAGCATTAGTTCTACAAATGATTACTGCATGTGTTACACATACTCTACAACATATGAGTGACACAATAGAGCAGGTCTGCTACATTTACAAGTTCATCCACTTGTAAATGTTATATGGCTATAGTTAGTAGTCTTCCAAAACTACCCGTTTTACTTCTACCTTACTTGGAAAAGTATTCTCTTAGTTCAACAATAATTGATTAAATACTTTCTTTAAAGACAATTTCATTTCTTCTTCAGTCATGAAGCTTACCAGATATAAGGCATTATATATACAAAGACAATGATCTAATGGACCTTAGTTAAAAGCTTGAACTCAACTATGAGGTAAAACTGGAACTTGAACTAAAGTAAATAAATTGATACCTTTCCATAGTAATTCCAGCCCTAGAGGCACTCGATAGAATGGCAGTCAGGGCAATTTGTGAAGGTGTGTATAAAAGATAAGCATCTGTCAATGCAATTCTACTAAGAAAATCATCAGCTGTTTTCCTCAAAGTCTCTGGATTCTCCAACATGGGGTACCGCGTCTAGAAATAAAGATATTACCATTTTTGAGAGTTTATTGAAGATCAATAACCAGTAAAAAACATATAGTAAGCAGAAGGGAGTTAATAAAGTATGATTTAAAAATAGTAACTCCTTTCCAGTGTCCAAAAACTAATCTTTCAATGTTACATTACTTGGTATATATTAATAGAACATAGCTAAAATGTATTCATCAAATGTTTGAATAATTCTTTCTGTTTTTCTGATACGGCTTTAAAACCAGAACCACAATTAGAAATATATGCTTATAAGAACAAAACAGAAACACATGCTTTAAGATGGTAATACTTAACATTACTCTCAATTTGGTCCTTTTCAAAGTTAGAAAGGTAGGCTCTTAGAATTTCTACTGGATTCAAGGCAGACACAAGATATATTAGACATACAGTTTCAGATAAAGATTAATCCAGACAATTGTAAGGTCAAATAAGCAATTATACAACATCAATGTCACAGGGAAATTGTTCTAATGAATATTGTGGGAGAAAATAAATGGAAATAAATGTTGGATCAATCAGCATTCCCAAATATCTACAAATTTTTTTTTTCCTTTTCTTTTCTTTTTTTTTGGTTTTTTGAGACTAGGTTTCTCTGTATTGCTTTGGAGCCTGTCCTGGAACCAGCTCTATAGACCAGGCTGGCCTGGAACTCAGAGATCCACCTACCTCTGCCTCCTGAGTGCTGGGACTAAAGGAATGCGCCACCAATGCCTGGCTTTATAGAAATATTTTTAAAACTATACCCATTAGATCTGGAAAACCTTAGACTGCCTATCAGCTACTAAGTCTCAATCCCTCAAAAAGACTTCAGATACTCAGTCCAGTCCTGAAGCAGTTAGACAACCAGCACATATCCTGAAACAAAGTATCAGGTACCAATGTCCAACCACACATAGGCCTAGTTATCATCCCCAATGTCTGACCCTGAAATAATAAATGCAGTCACTCTTGATGTCCCCTTTCTCAGGATTTTAATTTGTTCATGCTGTTCTTATAAATATCAGACCATTTGGTTATGAACACTTCTACCCGATCCCACTTACCAGTCTTCAATCATTTCTTTCCTGCACTTTTTAAATTTTTATTTATGTATGTGTGTCTGTGTTTGTGTGAGTGTATATAACATGTGCACAGTGCCCACAGAAACAGAAAAAGGTGTCACATCTCCTGCAACTGGAGTTACAGGCAGTTTTGAACCACCAGATGTGCATGCTGCGAACAGACCTCAGTTCCTCTGGACGGGCAGCAAGCATTCTTAACTGATGAGCAATCTCTCCAGCCCCAATTTCAATGACATCCAAATCCATTTCTATGCTTTTGATTTCTGGGTACTGCCAGAAAAAATCTACAAAAGGTCTTGGGATACAAATATAAATTCAAATTCATTTATCTGGGTATGTCTGTCTCTCAGCTCAGTCTGAAAATTGTTTGCCCATTTGTCAGTGATGATAGTCAATATTTTCTACCTTTATGTCTTTTCTAATTCTCAAAAACCAACATTCTGTGGAAAATTATCTCTACACTAAAGAAAAAAAAAGCACTATTTCCACCAAATCCCCAGATACAACAGCATCTTCATCCATCCCTTCTCATGTCAATGCAAGGGTTTGACCTCTCTCTAAGGCCAATTGTACCATTTCAAACCCCATGCTAACCTGTATGTGGTTCACTGAGAATCTAGAGCTATGCTGTATGGTCTCTGTTTACCCTTTAATCTTTTTCTTATTACTAGCTCCTTGGATCAGTATATAAACATGTGTCAATCTCTTCTAAATACCTCTACATTCAGCATTTCCTCCATGTTACCTCTTTCCGCATCAAAGATAAACTATTTAATCTAAGTTATGTATACAAGTTCTGTTCTACAAAACAATTTTTCTATCAATAATGAATAACAGACTTACGTTCTACAAGGTTCTAATGCAGCTGAACATTTCCTATCATTTAGTGATTTTACAACCATTACAAGTATGTTTGTTTTTAGTGATATTTGTGCAAACAAGCCTGGGGTTCAGCATAAGACACAATTATACACATTGCAGAATTTTGAAAATGACACTTCACTATGTATTTTAAATTATTATTTTAGTGCATATTCCTTCCACTCAGTAACAAAAAGTTTAATTATAAAACACCCCAATCAGGTCATAATTAAGTAACAAACCAATGTTATGAGAAGCTGGCCAGGCACAATTCTGAGTTCTGAAACTCTCCTTCCTTTTTGTTTTAAAAATATTTTCTTTTATTTACTTTATGCATATGAAGTATATTGTTATTTTGCCCGTATGTATGAATGTATGTCTGTGTACAACATGCATGTCTGGTGCTCAAGAGGGACAGAAGACAGAAGGAGGCACTGGATTCCTTGGAACTGAAGTTACAATCAATTATGAGCTGCCATGTGGATGCTGGGAATCGAACCCTGTTAAGTCTGGAAGAGCTTAACTGGTGAGCCATCTATACAGCCAGTTATTTTTCAATTTATTCCCCCCAAACAACCAATCTGCTTGTTTCTTTTTTCTACACTTCAAAGACAAATTTCAACAAAATCATAAATGATCTTTCTGGCACTAAACTCAGCAAACATTATTACCCTACCTTTCTGTTGTCTGAACTAAGCAGAATGAGAAAGTTGCTATGCCTTCTTAAAAAAGCATACTCTATTTCCCTTTGTTTTCCCAATAAATCCTAAAACTCTGAATAAATTTTAGTTCCCTTACAAGTTTCTTCATTGCTCAACTACCATTAACTATTTCTCAAGACTAGTCCTCACTGTATCTATCCCTTTGCCCATTCTGATCCACTCTCCTCATAATGCAAAACACATACAGATGTCCAATCTCATCTGATGTTGCAATGACTGTTTTGGTTTGTCCAATCTCATCTGATGTTGCAATGACTGTTTTTGTTGTCAACTTGACTACATCTGGAATTAACTGAAACCCAAAACTGGACACAACTGCGAGGGGTTTTTGCTTAATTAAATCCCCTTCTAATCCAGATCATTTAATGTGGAAAGATCTGCCTCTAATGTATTCCTATAAGAACATGGAAAAAGGAAGCTCCTCTTTTGGCCTGCTTGCCCTGGCCTTGTTGAGAAGGCTGTTCCTTCACTGGCATTAGAACCTACTTCACTGGCATTAGAACCTACTTTACTGGCATTCTAGTGTATACTGAGGATTAGCTGAGACACCCAGCTTCATAGATGGAATGTTTACTAAATTGCTGAACCTTACATTCATAGACAGTCATTGTTGGATTAGCTAGAACACAGCCTGTAGGTCATTCTAATAAGCCCCCTCTATTTCCAACACAGATTCTATTACTGTTGAGAACCCTAATATAGATCACAGTAACCTGTGAGGCTGAGAACATGCCATTTTCTTCACAACGCAAGCCTAACCATACCAATTCTCTAAATAAGACTTTCACTCTCTTCTTTACCCTTTGTTCAAAATCTTCAACACTACTTATATAGTGTAGACTTTTGCTTTTCATTAAAAACGTAACACTCTCCCCCTCTGTCCCCAGGCTCTTCATTTCTTAAGAGTTATAGATCTGAGCTCTGACCTAGGAAGGTCTCTGGAAGGGATATTCTTTCTGTACCTAATTCCTTTTCTTGATTTGAATAAATACTTATCTAAAATATTAAACTGTAGGGTCATGTCCTGTCTTGTTTCCAGGCTGCACCCTCAAACACATTTAGCATAAACAGAATATCCATAGCTGCTTAACTGAGAATAACCAGTTATTGACTTCTCCTCAACTTATATTATTCAACAACTTGACTATGTCAATATTTACATAAGTATCAACACGTGGCACATGTAAATACATAAATATAAGTACTATGCATAAAGTATGCATGTTTTGTGATACAGTATCACTACATTGCAGGCTAGTCTCAAACTTCCAGCTTCACATGATCCTCCAGTCTAAACTTCCTGAGGACTAAAGCTACAGGTGTCAGCTATTTACTTATAATTTTGGTGTTTTGGTTATAATTTGTGACCTGAGTTCATAAAACATTAAAAATAGGAGTTACTTACCTTTTTAGTTTAATATTAAGAACTTTTTTAAGTTCTAGGTCCAGATCTATAACAATATACATCAAATAGAAGTTACCATAATTCTTTAAGAGCATTACTATAAACTCATAATCTACTACAATAGATTACTAAACCAGAAACCTGGAAATTCTTATCTAACCATCCAAGATAACCAAATCTTCAGGTTGCACCTACGTTGTACCACTTAGGATATTACTGGTTATAAAGTTTTCAATTCCTTTTAGCAAATAACAACAAAGGAGTATATCTATTAGCTAATTTCCTATCAGTACAGTTTACCTTTATATCAATGAGGAAGCCTTCAAAAGGTCGATAAGGATTGTGGACAATAAGGTGAAAATTAAGCTGCTGTATAAGGAGTAGTTCATATTCCAAAATCTGCTCTAATGCTTTCTCCTGTCCAAGGGGACTCTCTCGAAGATTTCCAACAAACTGAGGACTAGACACATTGAATTCATCTACTTTGCAGGCCAGAAATGCACAAGTGAGCCTACATGAAGAAATAAAGGAGAGCAAAAATAACTAAATATTCCTTAAAATACTTTGTAAATTGCTTAGTATTTACATGTGACTATGCTAGCTAGACACTGTGTGCATTAAGAAATAAAAGTTGAAATGAGTTCCTCTTCCAATTTTATCCATTAGGAGACTTAGGAGAAACTATAAGTCAGGTAGAGCCATCATCTAATCCTGCTACAGCATTTAGCCACCATTAATGAACTGGTAGCATCATGTAGTCCAGCCAGAAACTTGGAAGAGAATTAACTAAGGAATAAAAGTAGTGTGTATCAAGAAAGAGTTAATGGAAGAGTAAATGGAAGAGTTAATAAAAACAGAATAATACATATGTATGTACATGTGACCAAAGGTAATTAACACTGAAGAAGGTCATCAGTAGAAGTCTCAAGTTACTTGAGTACAGAGTAACCAGCTTATGGACAAGTATGAACTTCACCTGAGAACTAAGTTCAGAGAGGGGAACTAGTAGCAAGCTACTGCTCACAGCTTTTAGAAGCTGAAGTCAAAATAAAGGCCCAAGCTTGACTGCTGAGAATGGAATGGGAAAAACAACAAAAACAGAAACATGAATGACAGCAAACTCTGATGAGTCCTATATTAATTCTGTCCTCATCTTTAGTGATAAGCAAAGAGAAGAAAAATACACCCATGTTTAACCAAAAACAATATAAAGCTATAGGATGGGAGTGGAGAGAAATTTCCATTAATGATTAATGATTCTTAGCCTGAGAACTGGAAGAATAAAGACATCACTGAGAGTGACATTAGCAAATAGCTAGGATTAAGAAAAACTTTGTGAATGGATAGACAAGTTGCAGTTCAGATAGCATTAGAAGACAATGGCAAGTAAGGAGTCCTTATCCTCAAGTAGGAAAAGAAAAAAAAAAAAAAAAAAAAAAAAAAACAGAATTCAAGTCTAAATTGTATTTAAGAAGTCAATTATCTCATATACATCCTACAGACAAATGTCCACAAATTACAAACATCTTCAATGAAAACATAAAGACAAACTTTTATACTCACATTATTATCCGGGGGTGATATTCCATTACTGAATTATTAAGATAAAAACGCTTGAAATACATACAAGCTGTACCCTAAGATTAAAAGAAAAAAAAAAAAAAATACATCCATAAAAGCAGGATCTGCTTACATGTTAAATTTTGAAAACAATAACTTATCCATGCACAGGTTTCCCTGAAAAGGTTCTCCACACTGATACTTTTGAATTTTGCTTTAATCAAAATAAACTGTGGTAAAGTATTAAAGTATAACAAAATAATCAAAATGTTAGAATTCAGAGCAACAGAAAATTTTAAAGACTAAAACTACCAGTGATCACAGGTTACCCAATCTTGGAAAAAAAAATGCTAAAAGAATAAAATGATTGGAGCAAAAAGCCTTTTCTCTGTCAATTTCAGATCTGTGACAAACCATGACTGCTACCAAACTGCACCACATCATACTACCTGAGTACAGCCCACTCAGTAAGCCCCACTGTGCCAAGTTCAAAAGGACCAACCTATTCCAATCTTTGTTAACACATTAGTAAAACATCACTATCGCCATAGAAAAAGAATAGTGTCACAATTTATCTGATATTAAGGGTCACAGGCTATACTCAACTAAGAACTACCTGTAGCTAATTCTATCACTTCACAAAACAGTAACCATTCATTTGATAATAGGAAAAATCCTTCATTTAAATGATTAAAAATTTGCTACCAATTTATGTTAAAAAGCAAAAAAAAAATATTCATTGAATTAATAAATTTTGTAAATTTCATTTGAGAATTGCTTGACCCAAAGAGATAATTTAATTGTACCACATTCTACAGTCTCTGTAATGAAAAGGACAAAACACAAATTTCATCATAGAAACTATCTACTGTATCTGATACTGTTTATGACTGTTTCATCTCTCATATATGTCTGCAACTTAAAAATGAACCATAAATCCATGTGTATTTAATACTTTCAATGTTCTTGAACTTTTTTTCTACTATAAAAAAGAAGGATCCTAGATAGTACCTCTCTGCTTTAAAACTTTAAAAACAGCCTTTCATACTTGACCTTTACAACTAACCAGCCTGAGAGTAAGTACTAAGAAAGGTAACAGTGCTTTAGACAGCCTCAAAACCAGCCTTTTTCTGTGTTAGTTTAGCTTTCTAATACCATTGCTCACCCCAGTAAAACACACAAAAAACACTAAGAATCATATAAAGTAACCCTGAGACATTTAAGCTCAGTTGGTTGTGTGCTGGCCAGGCATGCATGCACCCAGGGGGGTTTGATCCCCAGTACTAACTATAACCAGATTTGCAGTGCCTATAATCCCAGCATTTGAAGTTGAAGCACTAGAATCCTAAATTCACAAAACACAGCCACAGCAACTTAGGATTTAAGGTCTTTATTTTAAAATCTCACACACACAAAAAAAATTAGTTTTTCTTACTCATTATACTGGTACATGTATGAATTATCCATATTAAAAAAAAAAAAAAAACTACAGCTGATTGGTACACACTTCCACTTAGGTCCTTATAGTGGCTAACTTAAAATTCATGCCCTGACACAGAGAACTAAGCTTCTAGGTAGAAGCCACATTTCCATAGCTTGCTTTTGCCTGTTAAGGTTAAAAGATAAAGTGTAATGTCTCTCACACCCAGAGTTCAAACAGTAGGTATGCCTTCCCCACAGTACCCTCTTATCCAACCGAAGCAATGGGTTACTAAGTGAGGCAAAGCTAGAGACACAGAGGGCAGAGGTCTGAGAGTGTAGTCATGACTACAGAGAGCTACTTTCTCATGAAATGGCCTGTACTGGACCACACTATGAGAAGAAATTAACTACTAGATTTGTTGTTGTTGGTTTGCCATTATATAGTTTGAGGCCTATTTAGTTCTATACTTAAGACTATGCTAACCTAAAGGACAACTCTAACATAAATAAAGCATTGCTGTTTTAAAAACAAGGTCACAAAAATAAACACACAACTAAGCTGAGTCTTGTAGAGTGAAGAGAGCTCAGTCTCCCAAGCCTGCTAAAAGGCACTATACTTCACTCCCAGTACTTACCACAACAGACCGTGGCATTGCTGGCTTAAACACTGAACAGAATTCCAGTAATCTTTTCTCATAGTATTTGCAAAGTGTAATTTCTTCATAAGGCTCAAGAAACACTGGATCATTTGGAAGAACCTTTGAAGAGAGTGAACATTTCAATGTAAGTTCAATGAGTTAACTGTAAAACTGTCTTCTCTGTCCTGCTTAAATTTGATTTATGGCTTCAGGAAAGGGAAAATACCTCACATAATTTTCTCTTTATGTAAGTATTACACAAAATATGTTAAAAAATAATAAAACTGAATCCAAAGCATCATCTCTCAATTTCCCAAAATATCAGCTGGACAGATTTAAACAATCAAGACAGAGCATGTGTCAATATGCTCCCAGGTTTAATACCATTATGTGTACATAAATAGTATTTTCACTGGTGGGAAATCTCCCAAATTCCCCTTCTCAGTGAATCACTGTGTCATTCAAATTAAAGGACACAGCAACAAATGACTACATTTGCTACATCCTTGTATTTGGAGTGTAAATATCACTTACTTGAAATATGTAGGAGCTAGTATATAGCGACCACAGGTCACAACAACAGAAATGGGCGGTAGAACTGTAAGACCTGGATAGAGGGCCACAGACCATTCCCTGCTCATCTGGCTTGTGTCAACTATTTCCTATCCCTGTGCAACTCTCTGCATGAAGGCTGTTTACAGTAAACAGATCCAACAACAAGCCATCATTTCCCTGTTTCAAGTCTTGGAAAAGCTCCCTTCAGTTTCCGTTTACAAGCTCCTTGCCTACGTGCTCCAACTACTGCTGCACAGGTAGAGCTTCGCCCACAAACGCCCACGAGCGCTCTACGCACCCGCCTGTGACTCTGACGTCCCACCTGGCACCAGCGGCTGTCTGCCGGGACCGTCTTTTGCCCCTCTTGTCAACTACTGAGAAAGGTTAGTCCTGACATCCTGCAGGTCGAGGGAGCAGCTCGAGCCCCGCACTAACTCCGCATCCCACCAAGGCTTTTGGCCATTTCCTAGGACGTCGTTACTCGTCCCTGTCACGGGCAGCCTGGGTTGACCCCAGTCAGGCAGAGAGGGTGCCCGCCGGCCCGCAGGGAAGCGAGGATTCGGGAGAGCCCTCAAGTTCCCGGGGCCACTCAGGGTGGGCGCGGAGGCTGGCCCGCGCGCGGGGCCCTCACCTTCCCGTTAGCCACCGCTTTGCACTTGAATTTGCGGTTGGCGTCGGCCCGCAGGCGCGCCAGCTGCTCCTCGCTGGCAAAGGTCCAGTGCCGCTTCTGGCTGCTGCTGTGGTACATGCTGCAGCCCTGGCGGGTCGCAAGACCGCCACAGCGACAGCGACGTGCCAGGAGACCGCGGCCACGCGCGATCGCGACCGCGAGAAGCCCGCAGCCCAGACCCGAGGCGCGCACGTGACGTCACGTCACGTGCTGGCGCCTGCTGCCCCGCTTCCGGAGCCCGGGGGAGGTGTTCCGCGGCGCGGGAGGGCGGAGCCTCGGGACTCCGGGCCTTTGGGGCGGGGCGGGAGCCTGAGGGGCGTGCCCAGGCTGAATTAGAAAGTGGGCGTGGCCGCGGGGACTCGCGCCTCACAAAGTGAAGACGGTTCCAGAGCGCTGGCAGGAGGCGTCCTCAGAGAATAAGCGGGCACACACAAGGCCTAAGCCTTCCAGTCCTAAAGCCTTTGCCACGGAAGGGGTTGGGGCCCGGGAGATGGTTGGAAAATGGAGCGCTAGATGCATATTCGTGCTAAGGCTAACACGACCTTTCTCTGGCGCGGTTTCCAGTTCTCCTTTCCTGCATTCTGATTTCTGAAGCCAAAGTGGATGATTCCTATACACTTCTTGGTATTCCCATCCCCGTCATTGCTTTAAGTGAATCATAACAATAAACTATCATAATGCCTAAGAGATTTATCTTTTGGTTTTGTTATTTGGGCTTTTAGAACTGCATTTGAGATGCTAAGTTTACATTGGTTCTGAAAGCCTACACTGTTTTGTTTTTTTCCTTTCCTTTTTCAGAGGCAGAGTACAAAGCACCCACCTCCCCACCACCACCACCATGAATTGTGCAGTGGAGTTTTCCACCATCTTTTCCTGTCTCCCCCCCTCCCTCCGCCCCAACCCCCAATACTTCTCCCACTGTATACTAGAAGTCACTATTTAGGGTGGTTTCAAATGTATGATCCTCCTGTCTAATCTTTTCAAAATCTGCCAACACAGGTATGTATAACCCTACCCACCTCACCTTATCTTCAGATCACATTTCACTGCCTCTAAATGGAGGTTATTCAATCAAAACAGGCTCTATCTTCCTAGAATAGGAACATGTAAATTCACAAGTTGATGACAAAGATGCTAATGATATCTGATGAAATTTAAACATTACCAAGAAGAGACTAACAGGAAAATGTTCAGTGGTTTAAACACACACACACACACACACACACACACACACACACACAATTGTCTTTGTTCTTAAAATTATGCTATATATTATTTTTAGACAGATTTTAAATCCTAGGAGTGCTAATAGAGCACTTGCTACCTGTTGGTCTCCAAAGAGAGGTTATTCACGCTCTGCCAAAGAGACTTGAAAGAACACTGTATTAGGAATTCCTTTCTAGCTTTGGGGAAATCTCTAATGAAGAACAGATAAAGACACACAGGACTAGGATAAAATATGGTCGTATATTTTATTCTGGGTGAAATCATTTACATGGGAAACCAAGGACCCGCCAAGTTCCCCCTCCAAGGATCCACATCGCAAGCTGCTCTCTATGACCCTATGGGAACCAAAAGAGAGCAAGCTGGAGTTTGGGACCCAAGACTTAGCCTCCCACAGGTCACCTGTGCCCACCCCCAATGGGCGTGCTCAGTGCAACAGGTGCAGGTGGTGTTGATATCTCACTACAGATTTCTCCAGTTTTTAAAGCCTTGTCCCAGTGACCCTAATACTGGAAAACTAAAGAATCCAAGACTGTGTGTTCTCACCTCAAAAGGAAGAAAACGGAACCAGAAGAAAAGGTATCTTTTTTTTTTTTTTTTTTTTTTTGCATGTGTGTTTGTATGTATGGTATGAGTGCATGTATGTGTGCATGTTTACAAGTCCAAAGTGTACAAAAGTCCAAAGTTGATGGTAGGTGCCTTCCTCAATTTCTCTCCAGTGTACTTATTGAAAGATCATTTCAATTAAACCAGAGCTCACCAGTTCCCGCCTGGCAAGCTGCCAGATTACCCATTTCTGTACTCAGGGTGATGAGCAGGGTTACAGGTGCTCAACAGGCATGCTAGATTTTAACTTGAGTTCTGGACATCCTAACTCTGGTCCTCACATTTGAGAGGCAAATGCTTAATCCCCAAATTAGAGTATTTTTAAGTCAAATTTTGTATAAATATCTTTAACGTATTGCCTTATTTCACACAGTTTCTGTGTGAAGGTTAGAGGTTAGAGAAAAAAGAATGAAGTCGGGAGTGGTGGTGATGCTTGTAACCTCAACACAGAGGAGTAGGTGGCAGAAGGATCAAGAGTTAAAAGCCAACTGTGTAATGAGTTTCGGGACTGCCTGGGCTACATGAAGTTTTGTTTTTAAGGAAAAGAGTGAATTACATTTAAGCTCACAGAAATAATATACTTTGAGATATAACATGATACTGTATTCCTTTAGCTATTAAATATGTTTTAAGTACAGACTTACATATTATTTTGTAAAAACCTTTAAATCCATTACAATTCTTTTTTTCTGCCTTGACTTCCCTAGCACTGATCGTTAGCCAGGTTTCCAGTATCTGGAATGGTTTCCCTTTGTTGGATGTATTTTGTATTCTTTTTGTAAGCATTACAGCTTGGATGGAATGGTATCTTGGCAGTCAGGAGTCAAGGAACTCCACAGTCACACTGCACAAATGTAGGGTGAATGGGCCCAGCCAAAGAAACACATTCTGACCCTGAAACCAGAGTCATTGAAAGAAACACACCCTGGTCCTGAAACTAGATCTGAAAGACTAAAAAGGGCCAATGAATGAAACACACTTTGGCCTTCAAACCAGAGCCCTGACTTAACTCAACACACACACACACACACACACACACACACACACACACACACACACACACACACACCAGTCCCTGATGAATAGGAAAACCAATCGTTCCCCAAGCAGGGAAACCAACCATGAAATCCAGCCAATCTCTGAGCTTGTCCAAGATTGAAATCTGACCAATTCCCACCCAGAAAATCTTCACCCTGGAAAAACTCCATCCCTTTTAAATCCTGTTGACTGTTCAGGTGGGAGCTGCCTTTTTCCACCCTGGCAGAGGCAGCCAAGCCACCCTCCTGGATTCTTCTTGCCCAATAAATCTCTTGAATGAGTTTTGGGTGATACCTTTTCAGGAATAGAGCAGAGTGGGGTAGGGCAGGGCTGACCAGGGCACAGCAGAACTGTAACCCTTTCTCTGGGGAAACCTTTCCTTGCCAGAGCAGAGTTGTTACATTGGGAAAACTGTAACACAATAAATAAAATACCCAGAGACAGATATTGGGATTCAAACTTCAAGCTGAAGATAAGAGAAGCAAAGCAGGCAGCCACTATCTCTTACCTCTACCTCAGGCTGAAAGAGCTGATCCACAAGCTCTCCTCAACATGGCAGGAGAGAACCCAGAGACTACCTCAGAAAATGCAGTCGGAGACACTGGGCTCCTATCTTTTATATACCCCTCCCAGGCTGGGATTAAAGGCATGTAATCCCAGGTGCTGAGATCATCCTTGTGTGAGCTGTTTCTCTTTAGGACTAGATCATTTTGAGTAACTCTGTGTGGCCTTGAACTAACAGAGATCTGTCTACCTCTACCCAAAAGGAATCATGACCCACAGGTTGATAATTGTTGTCTAGAGCATTAGTAGCTCTGGCTGGATTGAGTTACTGTTATTTTCTGTTTATTTTAGTTATTAATTTTCTAATACTAAACACTCTGAAGAATCACTGTATACCATCCACAGCCTTTCTTACCACCACTGATGGACTGCTAGGCCAGTTTCTCACAGGTGGTAGTGATCAGTCATCTCACTTATCTCAAGCACAGCTACTCTCTAATCTGTTCATTCAGAGACTTGAGACCTACAAAGTGACTGCACAGGAGTCTTAATTTCTAGATAAGTGGAATCATTATTTTGCCTCTTTAAGGTGACATTCCTGTCTTTGGAATCAAGACTTTGGGCCAGGAAAGCTTAAGGCCATAGGAAGAGAAAGCACAGATTTTGCTAGATGGTTATTGAGAGTAATAGTGATTGACATAGTCCACATTTTTACCCTAATCCCTTGAGTCAGCTCCATGCTGAGTCAATGCATGCAAGACCTTCTGGAGCTTGTGTTCCAGCCCTACAATGTATTTCTCTAAAGCTGATGTTATAAATGACTCTTCAAAATGTGATTTTAAGCTTTTGTCAAATCTACCACTCTAGGATGGTGAGGAATGTGGCAAGATCTACCTCATACATTACATGAGTATGAAGCCCATTGCCATAATTATTGCACTGGGAAGTGAGTTGCAATGTAGTTGTGACAATAGATCAGGCATAGTGTGGAAGCATTGAATGCAGGAAAAGCAAATCCATACCCAGAGTAAGTGATTATACCTCACACTGCAGAGTCTCTCCAGTGCTATCCAATTTTATGTTCCTCCTGCCATTCCCAAATATGGGTTCTGTATTTATATCTGTATGAAATAGAAAACTGACTGCTGTTGTGGTATACTTGATCACCTTCTAATAAAAATCTGACTGGAAGGAGAGGACAGGCAGAACTTCCAAAGAGAGAGCGGAACTTGAGGAAGAATCTGAGTGGCAACAGATTTACCAGCAAGATGTAGAGGAGATCAGACACACTGTATGGAGGAGAGGTAACAAGCTACATGGCAGAATGTAGATTAATATAAATGGGTTCATTTAAGATTTGAGAGTTAGTTGGGGACAAGACTAAGCTAAGGCCAAACTTTCATACTTAATAAGAAATAAATATCTGTGTCACTATTTTAGAGCTGATGGTCCAAAGAAAGTCTGACTACAGACTGCAGCTCTTTTTTTTTTCCATTGGTCACACTTTGTACTTCATTTATGAGCCTCTAGGACTTGGTTCTAATTACGTATCTAAAAGCAAATAACAGAAGAGTGGGATGGTGTGGATCTACTGGAATTTAGAGGCTCAACTTACCAGTTTCTTCCTGATTTTTTCATACCTCCCTATACCATATTATAGGTTGTCATTCTTTCCTAATCAGTGCCTTCTCTTTGACATAAATATCCTATGGGGCAGGAAGTTGACCTTGAGTTATAATTTTGTCAGATACAAAATGAAATTCTG